ATTACGACGGGTCTTTCTGTTTTTCTTCAGAAATTGAAAATTCTGTAAGAAAATTCCATATTTATTTTAAGAACATGGCATGTATTTTCAACTAATTACAACTCCATTTTTAGTACTGTATTTGAGAAAGAAAGTATTCCAATATCGAAATAACTTTTTATATTACATTTATTACTCTGTATTATTATAAAACCAACTTTTTGAATACATAAGTCTTAGTGACTACTTTGGACTATCAATTACCGAGACACAGCATGCACTACTCTCAGTACAGGGCGTCTACTCGTAGCATTATGCACCTGAGTTGGTGCAATATATTCGAAAACCTGAGAATGATTATCGTGTTTTCCAAGGTCCACTGTCTCTGAGGCCGAGATTACATGCTGTCTGCGATCACCTGTTGAGAGCAAGTGCCAAATGGAGGGAAACGCCTTCTATGATGTTTGCGGGTTAGTGTCTGACACGGTGGAGCCCCGGCTTAGTGGTCAGCAACGAATTCCTCCTCTGGGTCCTAGAGTTCAAATGCTCATCCACTGATCCTACCTGAGGTTTCTCAGGGCATCAGTTGGCGTCACTGCAGTGCATCTATCCGGGAGGTCGTAAGGTCCGAGTCCGGACGGTGACAGAATTTTAGACACTACCTAGATAGATCTAATTCAGATGAGATTTCTAGCGGCTGGCTGCTGTGATAGATAGTTTTTCACGGTTTCTTCACTCAATACCATATGAATGACGGAGCAGTACCCTAACAGACGAACACTTACTTGCCCTACACAACCAGATATGTGAGATGATAGTCGTGCCTAGAGTTTGTCTCGAGTGGGGCGGTGCCCATCTCTATGGAAATTACTTGTGGGAGAAATGCCGACTTTTAGGTCAGCGCCGGATCTCATCGTTTTGCAGCGAATAATACAACCACCTCCTGTGAAGAAAACGTACCCTGCATGTACGGGATTATTGATTCTGTCAGTAAACACGCCTTGAAACACAAAATAATCAATTAATATACTCATATACTGGATATGTTTAGTGGTATATAAAGCACAGCCACTCCTCGACAGTGTTCCTCTAAATTGCCTTTTGATTGATTTTATATTATAGAAAGACGGATTAAGTGTTGACAGTGAGGTAAGCTGCGAAATAACAACGCAGGTCATACAAGTGCTCAGTCACACACAGCAATACAAGCTACATACATATGAATCCAAATGTATGTACACATGCTCACATAATACACTCACATACATGGACATACAAACTCATGCATGCAAGCACACACAAACATGCATACACACTCAAAAGCATACACATGAATGCACACAGACACACTTACAAATGATCGCACACATGCATAAGCACACCCGCACGAAAGTGAACGCACCACGTGGGTGTTGCCCGCTCGCCCACGGGAGGCGCTGCTGCGCGGGAGCGAGCGCGTCGCCACGGTAGCGGGCGCCATCTGGCGGCGGCGCGGGCGGAAGCGGAAGCCGGGCGGCGGCGGCGGCGGTCCCGTTGCGCCTCAAGGCCACCTTGCGGTCGCCCGCGACCTTGCTCTTTGGCGCGGCGCCGCCGCACCGCGTGACGGCGTGATTGGGCCAGTAGCCTTGCCACGCCCGCTGCCGCGCCGTCGCCTCCGGCGGGCAGGGGCACCGCAGCACAGGAGTGTGTGCTGGGTTGCCTAGACTGACGTCATCGCACGGCGTAAAGACAGCCAACGGCACCAAGTTGTACCTAACACCGGTACGAGATGGCGTTTCTCGTATACCAGACTCGCCTGGCTGCACCGATCACGCACGTGCACATAGACACAGGTGCATAAGAAATACACATACACTCGAACAGTATTCTGTCTAGTGTTAACTTTGTGTGTCAATCAGTCTTTAGAAAACCCTTATAATTACGAAATTTTTAATTTTGTTTACATTTATTTTGTGAATTAAAAATAACTCGTTGTTTGTCTCTAAACACATTAAAATGTCCACCAAAAGTGCACAGTCCTAGTTTTGAATATGTTCAACTCGGACCTTTTGTGCTGAAAATTACTACAACTGGGCCGCAGACAAAATTAGACAAACAGCTTCAGTGGTGGCAGAGAAAGTTTGTTGTACTACTTTATAAATATGAATAAAGAAGAATTACACTACTTTTGATATTTATTAAAGCGTAATCCCAGATACAGAGCTTTCGAAAACATATTCTTTCCTTCTCCTAAGGGGTCTAAAACAGCTAAGAAAGATTAAAAAAAATACAACTTTGTATTAAGAATGTACATAAACAGTAGGCTAAGTATAATAATCAAAACGCAAATATAAACTGAGTGAAATTAAATAGAACTTCTTACTATCCAAATAACATCGATCGCATTTAAAACATATCTTCTGAATAAAGAACGACTCCACCTACAAGGCAAGGGGTATCGGAAGGGAAAAAAGTAGGTGAAAATGACCTAACAGAATTTCTCTCATAAAACAATTTTCAATACTTCTTCAATTTTTAAGGGATATTCTTTCAAGATTCATGCCTTAAAATTTCAAAGCTTATCAAAATGAACATTTTCTTGCCGTTATTTGCAAAATGAGGAGTTTTGAAGTTTTCATTAGATCCAAAGAATGGTAGGCAAAGATATAATGGTCTAAAATTAATATTCAACATCTGATGTGTTCCTTACATTTGCAAGAAACTTTTCTGCGTGTATGTCACACATAAGCTGCAATACAATCACTATATTTAAAAAAAATGAATACTACTTTTTCAATGGAGGGAATATGGGATTTATAACTAAAATGTAAACCTATTAACTGTTAACCCTAACGTGACGTGTTCTTAAATCGTGTTCTTGTGGCGTGTTCTTGAATGTCAAGAAACATTTCTTGCAGATAAACAACGCACGATAGACGTTGGATCTCAAATGACTTTTTCGCTCCGAATGCGTATTAGTTTTTACAATATCCTCATCAGAGATGCGGTGAACAATTACAATATTAGACCAATCCATACGTAGAGATAACAGCATTTTTTAAAAAATTGTTTGTCGCTAAGTTTGTTGTTAAGTGTATTGTCACTGTGAAACCTACCTAAAAGTTTTAACATAATTTCGTGAACACGTTAACAAATAAGATATATATTTATATATATTTTTTACCAATATTTTTCTGATAGTAAGAAATGTCTATGTGCGTGAGTGTGTGCGTGTGTGAACGTGCGATTTGCCTAGAATAATATAATTGTAGATTATACGTTAATATTATCGGCATTGCAGCCATTCAATACAATTTTTAAATATATGAGACATGAAGATATTAAAAATAGTTTCAGGGAATATGATATAATTTGCAAATTCAAAAGAATTTGGAACGATTTGCTTCATTTGTAACCGGAAGGGAACAATGTATTGTTATCTCTCAAAGACTCCCAAGCAGCACTTGCTTTGTGAGCGGCAATCACTGAATGCTTAATGTATACAAAGGCGGTACAAGCGCGCCGCGCAGTCCTAACGGTTCGACCAATCGACGAAACCACAAGGCAATCGACCACGAGCCACTTTCACTAGTCCTCGCGCGCGCCGCTGGCAGCGCTTCCTCCGCTCGCATCGAAACGACCACTTCGCTCCCGCGGCGGCCGATCCCGCTACGGGGAAGTCCGCGAGCCTAGGCCACGCCCGTGGGAGAGCCGGGCGCTCCGTTCTAGAAAAATACGTCACGCGGTGCGGGCAGCGACGGCGCTGTGCGTTGATTGAGAAATCGCCAGCGAACAACCGGCCTCAGAAGCGCAGTCCATTCACGTACTGCCGGGAGCCGAGGAAATAAAATGCCAATAGCACGCCTTGAGTATCAGAGCGGAAAGCTGTCATGTGCAACACAAATGCACCGGGATTCATGTAATTTGTGTTTCTTTATTAGCTTAACAAACACGACAATAAAGAAAATAATAAATAAAAATGCAATAAATATATGCAATTTCTTAAAAGCATTTTGATACAAAAGAATTAACATTATAAATGTAGTATATATAAGGCACAATTGTTCTTCTATTAGATAAAAATGAAATTCTTTTCAACTGCTTGTGTCACAACAAATATTACCACTGGAGTCATAGCATGAAGAGGGGAAGTAGCAGGCGGAACGTGATGAGCGAGAACATTCGTACAGCGTTGAATGGGCCGGAGAGGGTGTAGGCAGAAGAGTCATTGCTTCGGGGAGGTCGGGCTAAGCGTGCGGGATGGGCAAGGCTGCTCGATAGATCCTGATAAGAAAATCACCGGGCAACACTGGATAATCACCCTGTGTTTGCACAATCTTGAACAATTATTTGACATATGAGGTAACTTTCTTTGAAGGTAAACTCTTAAGAGATTTTTTGATTGAGATTTACACGATTCATTTGTACATACCTTTTTTTAATAAAAATGAATACCAATGTTATTCTTTTCAGACACCATCATTGATATACTGAACACACATTGTAACCCTGTGTACTTAATTTTATCAAACACACTGTTTCTATAACTATGATTTTAACATGTAGTATTCTAAATTGACTTTGCATTGCCTTTTTTATGTACGTGCACACGGTCATACAGTTAAATAATAATGTTCTAATTTATGCACTTGGGGAAACTAATGTTGTATTGAATTTTATAAAGCATAAGATAATGCAATGTGATTCAATTGTTCCTACGAAACGAGATGCACTAACCGTGTAGTAATGGATTATCCACTTGGGGTCTGTTCTTGAAGTCATTTACCCAATATTGTTCCGTACGTACCAAAACATTGACACTCGTATTGATTTTATACCAATGATACTAATGCACACTAATAATGCTTTAGTTGTCTTTTTGCAACATAATTCTTAAACTCTGTATATATAGAAAATAGAGACACAAGAGTTAGTTAGCTTATTTCCGTCAAAAAATTCTAGTTACAATTATTTACATCCGAATGCCTGTTTTTAATTTCCCAGCTGTCCATACTGAACAACGTCCGTTGCATCTGTTTCAGACCTGAACAGCAACGACAGCTACGGCACCGTGGTGAACCTGGGCCTGGACCCGGAGGGCTCGTCGCCGCACAGCGCCAGCGGCGGGGGCGGCGGCGGCGGCGGGCGCGGGCCGGCGGGGCCGTTCCTGCACGGCGGGCCGGCCACGCCCCCGTACCTGCCGCCAGGCCACTCGCCGCCCCCGCCGCCGCACGCCGCGCTCGCGCCCGCCGCCTTCGCCGCCGCCGCCGCCTACGGCGCCGAGGGGCTCGGCGTGTACACCGGCCTCGGTGAGTCCCCCACGCGCGCCGCGCGCCGCCCGCGGGCCGCGGCGGAAGCTGGCCGACGTGTGCCAGCGAAATGGAGCGTGAGCTGGCTCTTGGAGATGCATTCTACGATTGCGAGCACTGAAAGAGGGAAAAAAGAAACTAAAGGCTCTGCAACAGCACATACTTTCTCGTATGGTTCTTAACGTTAACGTAATATTATAATACTCGTTCTCACTTCAGACATCACTTGAGAAATTACAGAATATAATTCAAAATTACACGAAAACTTCCCATATTGCAAAACATGTGTACGTAGTTTAAAAATATATTGTTGAGAAATATATTTCTTTAACAAAGAAATAATTAGGTCAATATTGACCATGTAACATAGATTCGAGAAGTGAGTTTTTGAAGCAATTTTCGAAATTCTTCACGTTTGAATGAAAATTCCATATTCTACAAAGAATACTTTGCTCTATTTATGAAAAATAAAATAAAAATGTGGTGCCTTTATTAGAAAAAACTCAAAATGATCAAGTGTTATCTTGTCAGATAAACTCAAGAATTAATAGCTCCATTAACATTCACATGGTCTCAAGTGTCGCCAGATTAATTCAAAGATCAATTTTTGAGAACATTCTGTAATTCGTTAGGCGCTAGTTTGAGCACAAATGCACACGGATTGAAGGATGGATAGACAGAAGATAGACAGATATTAAAAAAAATAATTCTCAGTCTAAGACGACCAACGTCTACGCCGTACCGTAGCCAAGCGGAGCGAAGCGGAAACAGACTTGTCGCGGCACTGCCGGCGGGAGGGAGTTAGGTGTATGGTGGACAAAGAGGCCGTATGTTACGTAAGTAAACGATACGACTGACTCGTTAAGATAGCACTCTTTGTACAATGAAAAAGGTACTGAAAGAACTGAGAACAAGATAAGTACGTAGTAACACTACCAGAAACGAATAGATTTATCGAAGCACACACACATAACTATTTGACATTGAACTTTGCAGTGCCCACAAAAGAAAAATTACTCCCAAGGAAACTTCTACGAATATGACATAAAGTTAGTATTATACTGTCACAATTCGCACGGTATATTTGTTTGTAGAGTAATAATTATAACATGAAAAGTTACACCAACTTTATAGATGATAAATTCTTCCTTCATTGGGAAGTACATATGCTACACGTACGATATCTGTTGCGAAAGATCTGAGGTTTAAATAAAATCTGCTTCACTCTGCTTGACTGCTTGGCTTAAGATAATATAGAGGATAACACAGTCATAACAAGAAATTACTGCTCATCTCGTTTAAATATAAATTTCATTTAAAAATAACAATTGACACGGGAATTACAGATGAAACTCGAAAATTAATGGTCTTTCTTTTAGAGTTAAGTATTGCACACTCAATGAATTTTCAAACAAATTTCCTACTAATTGAAACATTTTATAATAACTCAACATATCATAATAACTCAAAAGAAGTACATAGTAGAAGAAAAGATTGATCAGATGACGGTTTTAATATTTGCGATCTTAGCTTTGTTCATACTTAATGTAGCCATTTGTTCTGTAAAATACAGTTGCAAAATAATTATCAAATTACGTTTAGTATTGATGAAAGAAATGTAATTTCAGTTGATTAAATTTTAATTATATGTATTACTCTTATGCAACTTTTCGATTTGGAAATAAGTATCTGTTAATTCAGAAAACGCAGGAAACAATAAGTGGATTATTCATGAGACTCACTCAATGAGATAAATGTTACATGATTTCGTAATGTAATGAGGAGCTGTTATAGTCTCGTCACTACTCTATAATCTCCATTTTAACCTTTAGAGAATAATAGGTTTTTCAAGGACGAAGTTGTTTGCAGTGCAATTGGAGGGTGCGCCTTCCTTGACAAAAAGACGTCTGCCCAGTGAAGTATAGAATACCGGTCCTCTGTTATTGTTCTCTCTGAAACCGGAATTTTATTTATTTTTCAATAATTTTTATACTTTTTCCATCACAGAATGTATTCTTATCTGATGTTATGTTCGCTGAAACATTCTCTCAAAATAAGAACTGGAATAATAAGTCAAAAAAGTGTTCATTAATTGCAATCACTGTTACACTATTGTAGCCTAGTTTGACTTTTCTAACTGAAGGTAACCAAATGCATTTTTTAAAGATTAGATAAATAATGCATTTCTTGAATCAGATGTGAACTCAATTTAACATACCTAACATCCTTATTCCAATTTCTCAACTTTTTCCAGACGACTGAGAAACGAAGTTAATCTAAAGACAAAATGCCTTTCTTCAGAACAAGATAAATTCTTAACTTTCTGGAATGCAGCAAAGAAATTAATGAGAAATTCAATTACTTTTTCATTAAGATTCAGCGAACCGACCAGTCTCAACAAACAACCTCCGAACGAAAACGCACAGCCCAGTCGTGGCTCTCGAATGTTTCACCTGCTTCACACCCACTCGAAATTTCGCGCTCCAGGGGAGCATATCGCCTTGTTCGCCGACGGCCTTTCGCATTCCTGGGCCGGTAAAAAAAGCGGCGTTACGTGAGCCTATCTGCCACCTCCGATCGCCCGCGCCCTTCCGCACCCCACAGCTGCGGCCGAGCCACGCCACGCCAGCCGTGCCGCGCCGTCCTCGCCGTCCCCGCCTCCGCGCCAGGCACACTCGCGGGCGAGCGCCGGCCGCGCCCGCAACCACGCCCCCGCCCCTGCCCCGCCCCCCCGCGGGGCCGCATCGGGCAGCCGGCCCGCCCTCGTCTGCCCCGGCATCGCCCCGCTGGGCGTTCCGCCGGCTCCGTCGCGCTCTGCCTTCCGTTTTCGCCACGGGTGCTCTCCTCGCCCGCCACGCCCGCCGCGCCCCGCCACGCCCCGCCGCGCCGCGCCGCGCCCCGCACAATGCCTGGGCGGCGGCGTTACGCCTAACGCGATAATCGCGAGCGGCGGAGCGTCGTCTCACGGGCGCGTGCAGGAATGCGGCGAAGGCGGCGGCGACGGACGCGATCGGGGTATCGAAAGTGGTGACGGAGACAACGGTGACGCTAGTAACGACAGAAATGGTGACGTGACGACGGTGACAGTGGTGATGCTGATGAGGATGGTGGTGACAGTGGCGGTGGACACGGAATTGAGTGCACAGGCAGAGGTGACGATGCTGACGGCAGTGGTGACGCTAATGACGGTGGCGTTAGGGACGGCGGTGACGACAGTGACAACATTGGTGACAGTGACGACTATGACGATGATGGCGACTACAACGGTGGTGACAGTGATTACGGTAACGACTGTGGCAACATCGACAATGTTGATGACAGTGGCGGCGTAGGCAAAGCTGGCGACAGTGTCGGCGGTTCTGACAGTGACAACCATGTTGATGTAGGTGACAGTGACGGCAGCGGCGGTGGCCACGGCCGACAAGCAGGGAGGTGGCGGCGGCCCCAGTAGTGGCGGTGGAAGCGGTGCAGGAAGCAGCAGTGCTGCGGCGGCGAGGGGGTGTCGATGACGTACACGTTCAAGCAGCCGTGGTGATTTGAGCGGCCGTGAATGCGTGGAAAATGCCGGGGGTGAAGCAAGGAAGTCGGACGTAGCAGGATACGTCCAGATACCTCGTTAAAGACTAGAGACGCAAGATAATCGCTTGCACACTTCTCTATGAGGGGGCGGAATGCACGGAATACGGTTTCAGATGCAAATAGGTGAAAGCTAAATGTTCAAGATTTGAAATTCTTTTAATTATCTTCTCGATAACTCCTGCTGCTCTGAATCATTACGATACATTTTACAATGCAGATACCAGTAATGTATTTTTATAGGATATTATTCCAGAACTCTTCTGCGATATACGTCAAATACCAATGCGAAGAAAAACGATTTCAAGATTGTATACTTTGTTTTTAGTGCTAATTAATTGGTGTACGTGTTGTTGTCTTTTACTATCGGATATCGGAGAATAATATGAGCATTTTACACCATCTGAATTTTCTTTACGTAATGTTTGGCTGCAATTAATTGATGTAAACCCTCGCGATGAAAATATTTGACACAATACTGACAAATGATTTTACATTCAATCCACGAATTATTTGCTTTTAATTATAAAATACTCTGTAAGTTTTCGGATATATGTCGGTTATTCAATTAAAACCGTGCTTAACAGTAAATATAAAATTAAAGTCGTTTGAATTAAAAAATGATTCCATTTATTCTATCACAAATTATTAGAAAGGGTAACTAAAGAGGTATTATAATATTTCTAAGCTAATTGTGGTCGACAAAAAAGTTGAGAGGCCATTCATTTGAACAGGTGCAAACGTCACTCCTCTAATTTACAGATAATCTACTAAGTAGTCTGAGTGTCTACATTTTCTATCGTTTGTAAATTATTCCTTCGGGCAGTTTAAGTCAAGCCACAGAAAAAGCAAGGTCTTTTCCCAGACGAGGTCACTTTGTATTGGCATGATTTAGAAGAGGAGGAACAGGTTCCTTGCAGTATTTTGTAGAGGCGCGTGACACAAGGCCTACTGTAAAAACGTGAGACAGCAGAAAAAGTGCATACGGTTTCGCTGATTGTTGCCAACAACGATAAATTCCGTCAATATGATAAATTATGGAAAGCAAGTAATGAAATATGGAGGCTTTTTAACCCTCGGTTACGTTTCAAACTGAGGTTCTTGAAATGCGTGAAAATGTCTTTATATTTCTTTAATTTTAAAGAGGGATTTCTTAATAATTTTATCATTTCGAATATCAAGTTTTTCTCCATTTGAGTCTCAGACGTGGAAGGACGAGCATGTAAAGCTTTTATACGTAGGCTAATATATTCGAAAATATCTTTCTTACCATTAAAATGAAGAATTATTTGAGCCACTGATTATATGTATATGAAAATATTTGTATTATAATAATTCAATTATATTATAGATGCATATTAAATTCACGAATGATCACGAATAGTGTTGAAATCATAAAAACAGAGGAACTTCTATACTTCTTTATTACTCCTACTTTAATTTTAGATTGAATTAATATTCTAATAGACGTTTTAACATTCACTGAAGTGTTATTTAATTAATGCTGTTATGTATTTTATTTAAGCTATTAGGAAATATTACAGATGGTCTCATTTTTATTTAATTTTTTTTTCAGTGTAACTGAAGACTATTTTTCAGTGTAATTGTAGACAAGATCAGGGTCTCCTAAAACGTTTTTCTAGAGCGTTATTTCAAGAAACAGTTTTTTTTGTTCTAACTATAACGCATTTCATAAAACATTTCATTACAGAAAAACTAACGTTTCCTGTAAGTTCGATATTTTTTAAAAAAAATTTGAGAAATATTTGTTCAAGGGATACTTTTATTATTTTCTTTGTTGAAGGTACAGATGATAAGACTAAACCACCCTCGCCAAATTAACCCCCACAAAATCGAATCGACTCAAAGCATCCATTCAGTGTGACTTCCCTTGAAGTTTCATTCGAAACACTGTAAACGACTTAGCGCCATCTCTGTTTAAGTGACGTTGCGCTTCGTGTTGGACGGACCTCTTAACACGATAATTATTAGTCCAATGATTATTAGTCATGATTAATTTGAAGTGTGCTGCTGCTGAAAAAAATACATTAGTGCACATGGAGAACCAGTCTCCTCTTTACGGTAGACAAGGTGGTGGCCAAGAAACGACGAAAACCGGTACCTGCACGATAGCAAGCGCGACAGATTCTCCATTAATTTAGTGGCTTCATGGCCATTGCCGGAGGCTTTCAATAATAATATTTATGATTTGAATTTAAAAATACTTTGAAGATATGCGTGTTATGCTATTAATTTAATACCGAAAGACATTTTTCTCATCCATTGACAACGCTGAAACTCCTTATTGTCGCGGATAACAATTGAAATTCAAAAATGTCTCCTTTCAAAAACAGGTCTGACTTAGTAGTACGTTACTGTGAATATATTGGAAATATTTTGCTGGTTTCAGCAATCCGCAAAATATGGCATGCTTTTAGATGCGAAGAGACGTTAAGTAAAAATACTTTCCATATACATAATAAAGTACATGTTTACTCTCAGATGATAATTGATAAAAATAATCACAGAATACTAAATGACTGACATTACACTTAGATTTATACTGCATAGATAGATAATTATTCAGAAGGTATTTCTAGAACGAAATTGCTTAATCATTATTTCACAAATTATCTTATCAAAAAGCCTGTGTTCTTTAAAACATTTCTCTAATACATAACAAAGCACATCCATCAATAATCATGTATCGTAGGCATTATGTGTAATAGTAGAATACAATGCAGATTTGCACAGTATATTTTTGATTCATTCACTCTACAGTTCACAATTGCAAATCCATAATTCTATCGACACGAGAAAAATGTTCAAATAAATGAAACACACAATTTTCCCTCTTACAAACATTTATTACTTCAAGTCGGTCAGGGCCAGCTCATAAATGGTAAAACAACTATGAAGGGGGATAATCAGGCTTGGAAATGATTCTGCCGGTTGTCTAAGTTGATCTCACTCCGATTGATTGCTACATTGGAACACTGCACTAGCATTGCCAGGCCGTCATCAGTACCATAGTAAATCATTTTTCTTCAAATGAAAGATTTATTTTGAAAGAAATGTCCAAAAGCAAACCCCAATTATGAAAAGTCAACAAATATCATGCTGGTTCGATACATCCGCTTCCGATCAAAAAGACAGAATAATTCTTCGCAACACCTCCTTTTGCTGGAATATCTGGAACTGAAGTTATATAAAGCCTCAATAACATTTCCATGATTTTCTCAAAAATGGCTCGAATGTTTTATTAAATTTTGTCCTCGAATAGGCGAAAGAGTCTAAAAAAACTCCCAAGTCTCAAATTTCATCAAACGTACCGGTCAAAATCTACAATTGTTTGATTATTTGAAAAGTTCAAAATTTTCGGTGGATTCCTTCAATACAGTATTGAAGATAAAGAATGTTTCTTAATAAAATCTTATGTTCAAAAACAGATCTTGAAATAAGGTCATGTACAATTTTCCGTAAATACGAGTAGTTTTTGCGGAATTTTTTTGAAACGTGTACAATATTTTTAAAAAAATTCTCAAATATGTCTTTAATTTTTTTCTTTAACATTGTCCATCGTGTATTTTAAAAGGTGGTAAAGAAATTAACCGCTGGTCGGCCAAGGTCGGTAGTGGGCTCTCGAGTTTTAGGACAGGACAGGTAAAGAGTGGCGCTGGTCTCATTTTCGCCGAATTCTTTGGTATTTTCGAATATTTTAAGAAATGAACAAGCAACTGTACAGTACTAAAGATATATATATATATATATATATATATATATATATATATATATATATATATATATATATATTTGTTTACTTAATTTAAAAAACTAGAACTTTCAAGAGAGTCGTGACAACTTTTTTGAAAAAAGGATACTTTCGTGTATCATGCAACTTACAATATAATATTTTCCCAAAGCGGATCGCAGTTTATTAACCCTTTTTTTGCAAATAGATCAAGAGACGCTTAAAAATATCGTCGGCCTGATTTTAGTTGTTTTCTGTGAGCTTTCGGAAATTGCGAACGTTAGACGTACTGGGAAAAACAATGCGTTCTTGGAGTATCACTAGGCTTTGGTTGCGGAAGTCTTCAACGTGTTGATTCTCATTTGATAATATTAGGACTTACATTAAGGTCCAAATAATATTGATATTCTTCTTCCAAACCAACGGTGTGTATTAGTGCTAAACCAAAACCGCTACTGCGCTCACGAATATATTTTTAACAAACAGATGGAACATATTAATAAATGGAACACATGTGGAATACGCGCATTTAATTAACTAGAGACATTAAAGTATTAGTTACACTGGGGAAATATATTACATAAAATCCACATATCCATTTTAAAGTAAAATGCGACGACAATTTCTTTCTAACGTCATATGTTTTATGTTAATTGCGGGCACCGAAGGTCGAAGTCTCGCCATGGATTTGGTAAAGCGCTATCAAAACGAGTCCAATTGACGGCACGAGGTTTGCCGTTTCTTTGGTTTTCTATCTTAACCCAACTACTTTAACAGGTACAACTCTATTAATCCACAATGATTCAGCTACCATTATAATAAATGTTTCAGAATAAATGCTACAAAATTCTAGGACATATAGAGTGATCGAGAATGATCAGTTTCTGGCTATTTATATATAGTGGAAATTTCAAATAATACAATAATACATTGGACAGTTGCCCTTAATTGTTAGGCCACTCTTCGTTCGCCAGATTTCGACAGATAGACGAAATATTTTTGACTTCTTCCGAACGTGACCTATCAACCACTAATAAATTCGATATTGTTCACCAATCAGAGGCAAATGGCACCTGTGAGACTTCGTTGAATAAAATTTCCCACCACACATTCGCCGGATGAATCGATCATTCTCCTAAATATCCTAGAAGTTTGAAACCTTCATTCTGAGACATTTACTACATTTGAGGAGCAACTAATCAAAACGCATATTGTCCACTGGTGGAAAAATGGAGTTTTATATGAAATAGTGTAGTTTTTAATACGCACTAAATGCTTCTGCGTTCAGATTTCTCCAAAATGCATTAATTTAATTTGTTAAGTTGCGTAGAAAATATGCATTTTGGTTAGTTGTTCCTCATCCAAACACCAACCTGAACAATTTATGTACTAGCTCTGTTTGTTAATAAAAATACGAGAGCCAGTGCGTGTGCATAGTGGGCAAACGAACAAACCCAGCTTTCCGTGTTGCAGGCCAGGTCCCTCCGCCCGCGCACCTGGCGCCGGGCCCCGCTTCCGACCTGAGCAACAGCTCCAGCACCCACGGCTACCCGGACTTCCCGCCCAGCCCCGACTCGTGGCTGGGCGAGGTGAGCGCGCCGCCCCCGGGGCCCGGCCCGGCGTACTGACCCGGCCGTCCCCGCGGCCGCCGCGCCAGGTAGCCCCCGCCACGGCCCGCGCCGCTCCCCGCGCCGCCCCCGCCCCTGCCCCACGCTTGCCGCGCCGCTGGCCGCGGCCCCGCCCGGGATGTTCCCGCTCTAGGCGCCGGAGGCGGCGCTCCACCGCCACCCCCGCTGGCCGGCGGACGACGACGACGCCAGCGTGTGGCTTGGACGCGCCACACACGGCGGGTCCCGCCAACTGCCACACATCGCCAAGCACCCTGCGGCAAAGGACGCTGAGGTAGTTGCTAAAGATACTGCCTTGGTCTCGTCAGAACATCGGCAAGATGGGCCGGGCGTCATCCAGGCGTCGTCCAGGCGTCGTCAAAACGTCAAGGCGTCGTCAAGGCATCGTCAAGGCGTCGTCCATGCGTCGTCCAGGCGTCGTCCAGGCGTCGTCAAGGCGTCGTCAAAGCATCGTCAAGGCGTCGTCCAGGCGTCGTGAAGGCGTCGTCCAAGCGTTGTCAAGACGTCAAAGCGTCGTCAAGGCGTCGTCAAGGCGTCGTCAAGGCATCGTCGAGGCATCGTCAAGGCGTCGTACATATGTCTCCAGGTCGTTTAAGCGTCGTCAACGCTTTGAGACATCTTCAAGCTGTCTAGACGCAGTCAACTGGTAGAAACGACGTCAAGGTATCGTCAAGACGAGGTCCATATGTCGTCCGGAGCCGGGAAACCATTTCACCACCCGCTTCCCATTCCATGATGCGTGAGCAGGACCAGCTCGGACAACGGAAGTCGGCTGCCAGCAGTTCAGTCGTCGGAGGGCGCCATCCACTCCAAATGTCCAGACCTCGAGCCCATTGGCGGACGGCGAAGAACAACAGGCATCTCCTGCGGCGGGGAACAGTCTCCATCAGGCAACGGACTCAAGTCACGTCAGCGTGTGCAATATTCTCTCCAGGTCCAGCACGCTCGAGCGTGCAGCATAGTTGCTAATATCTGAAACATTCCATGGTGTCACCGGAACATATCATAACAAAATTTGTTATGATATGAGAAACATTTAATATCAGTTTTTAAAAAGGTTTTAATGGGTTCATTTTAATTAATTTATTGAATTACTAAGTACTTGAAACACCTGATCACTTCTCGTTTCATGAATTACACGACATAATATAAGTAAAGAGAGCTAAAAGAGATAAGATTAATTTAATCTGAGTCTCTCAAATAACGTAAGCGTTTATTATTTATTAAAGCGCTATTTTTATCGATCTGATTTTTCTTAAGAATTTGAAATTATAAGATCGTTCAATTTGTGGCCCATGAAAATGGCTATTTGCACGTGAGAGGCAATGCTGGCGTGTGGAGAGGAGAGAGTGAGGGGGAGATGCGCGAGGTGAAGCGACGCGGATCGGACGCCGGGTGCGCGAAGGCGGCGTCGCCGGACCAGGCGCCGCGCGCGCCCAGACGCCGCCGTCCCACGGACGTCCCAGGCGACGCGACGCGCGAGTCGACGGAGCGAGCACCGAACCCTCGAGGAAACCCCTCGAGGCACCCCTCAAGGCACGCCCTCGAGGCACGCCCTCTGGGCACGCCCTCGAAGCACCCCCTCGAAGCACCCCCTCGAGGCAGGCCGTCGCCCTCCGCGAGCGCTTCTTCGTGTAGTTGGACGCTAACAAAGGAGGAGGAAGAATGCCAGTTTGTAGCTCCAAACAGTTTTTTAATTGTTTCAAAAAATAATTGAGGGGTTTCTCACAAGAACCAAACAAATCCAAAATTTCGTATTTTGAGATATTTCACCGAGTTATTCTCTACAGCTGACATTACCTGCTAGGACATTTCCTTGCGGAAATTGTCAAATACTTTAAGAGTTAAGGCGGAGAAAAATATATTAAAATGAGTATATACCAAATGGAGATTTAGATGCCCCTGAAAAATCTTTAATTTTAACTAGTTTGATTCTTGTAAGAAACCCTTCAGTTATTAGCTCAAAATTAAAAATAAAAGGGGTTTTCGTAATGCAAATATTTCATTGAAATGTGATGTGATTCTCTCAATAACGATACATTATTTTCAAACAAATGAATTAAATAAAAATATGTTGGAAATGGGGAATGGGTGGAAAGGATAAGCACCATGCTCGCTCCTGGATGCGCCAACCTTTGCCGGTCTCTGTTCGCCGTTCAGTTGGATGCGAGCGGATGGTTACTGGTACAAGGTGAGCGCACGGACCGGTCTGGTTCTATCTCTACGCTCTGTTCTGCAGCGAATGTCAAACGCTTGGAAATTGTATTACAGATCGTCCAACTACACGAACACGCGTTCTCGGGGCTGGTGTGCGCACTGACGACCTTCCTTCGGTGCTTGCGCCTTAGGGTGATCCCAGTTGCTGACGCGAAAAAGAGAAGACGGCTCGGAAAATCAACGGGTCGACTTTGTGAAATGAGACGTTCTCGACTCTTCGTCTTCGTTGAAACATCTTCGGCATGCGACATGGATTATCCTTTTTGGGAGGTGATAATACTTAATAACAAATGTTGTTTAAAATAGTATTTAAATTACAAGCCATTCCGGCTGTCAAAATTTTACTGGAGTTTTTATATGGCTTATTCAAAGCTTACTCATCCGTGGATAACTTTTTCCACTGCATTAGTTGTTTTTATGTCAGCAACAAATTTAACAAAATATAATCTTCTTGTAAACGTTTCACCGGTTTTCTATTTGCAAAGATAGCTATAAAAATTAACTGAAGAGAAAGTATAATTTTATTTTTTATGGAGCAATGAGCGATAATTTTGATTACCGAATGCAAAAGAATTATTAAGATATAGAGCTTTCTTGTTACTATTCAGGTATCCCAGTCAGTATGCCGAGTCATCTTGGAATATTAATGAATTCTCATAAAATACTGATTTTTCCACAATTGGAACAAGAATAAATGCCAAAAACTCGCACGCCGTTCATTTTCCGAGCCGTTGGACATTCTACATCGCACCCAACGACAACCGTTGCTCTCAAGAGGCAGTAAAGCGTCGCCTGATATTCCTAAGATAGAAACAGACTGTCACAATCAGATCCTACTCTAATATTAATTCTAGTCTACGGATATTCGAATACGCACTTATTCGGAAAAGGTCTATACACATAAATATAAACTACAAGAATGTTGGTTTGATTATCATATTATTAGCCATATTGGTTGGTATAGTGTGAAGTGTTCGGGCCGCGCGTGGCGAACTTCCCACCGCCCTTTCGCCCGCGACCGCTCACTGGGGCTCCCCGGCCTTCGCGGCGCCGTCACAGGGCACCTGTCACTCCGGCCATCCCGCGGACTTTACTTGCATCGAATCCGAGATATTTGAATTGTATTTACCAAAAATATATGTCAAAGTAGTTCGTTGAAAGCTTCTTGGTTATGTGTAAATATTGATTCTATAGTTTTTCAAATGTTTGATATTCAAACTAGTATTTTGATTTGTTTTTTCCCCAAGAGTCTTGTTGCCTCCCTTACCCGTAATGTTTTGTTGACTGTTTTCAATCTAGTATTTTGTTGATTTTTTAACTAGTCTTTTGTTGTCTTTTTTCCTAACTAGTCTGTTTTTAACTAGTGTTTTGTTATCTCTGAATTCTAATAGTGATTTGTTGTGTTTTAAACATGTTTTTGTTATGTTTTATTAAGTTTGTGTTGTATATTTGTTAAATTAGCTTCTGTTCTATATTATTTACGTATTTTGCAAAAAATAAGCTTAGGTATTATTACAACGTAATATTAGTTTCAATGGCATCATTGTTAAAACGCATAATAGTATTTAATCAACTAGTATTTAAATTTAAATCATTCTTTTAGATTTATTATGTTCTTAATTTGTTACCGTAACACTGCAATAATTATACTTGAAATGAGTTGATATGTTTCATAAAAAACATTTTGAACGCACAAAAAAGGATTTTTTTCAGATTGTAAATAGCAGTAGTAGAATTGTCACACAATTTGAATGAACTATGAATCCGTGTTCAATGGATTTTCGAAGCAAAATTCAATAGTTTCCGAAAGACAACGATCTTTGTTTGAAGTTGCCCTGAGACAGAGCCCTGTGACATCTGCCACTTGAAAGGCGTGAGCCTCCGTCCGCGGCCGTCATCGGCGCCACCGTCGCCAGGTGCGTCGCCCACTCCGTTGTTGAATGTCTTGATGCTCTTCTTTCTCTTGAAATGTGATATCGTACGGGCAATAGACGTCTCCACCCGCCCTCCACCCCCCACCCCCCCGCCGCAGTGTGGGGCGCGGCCTCGAGGACAGGGAGGAGGTTCCACACCTCCGTCCTTCCTCGTGATCGCTCTCGCAAGAATGTGTTTCTACGAGAAGTTCAATGCAACAAATTCGGCTATCAAAGTCATGTGTTTGCTCTCCGCCGGGTAGCGTTAGGTTGTGTGCCTGTTTGCATACGTTTCGTTTTAGCTCTGAGGAAGGGGTGATACGTGCAATAGAGGTGAGACAAATCACCTATTTTTGGAATTAGGATTAAAATTCCGCTGGATTATGAGGAAATTGTGAGCAAAGCGGTTTCGCCGAACGTTTTCACGTGGTTCTCTCATTCATCTTCCTCTCATTGCATCTATGCCCATTCATCCCTCATATCCTATTTTAATCATCACCACCCCATCTAACCACTCTTCCATTTCCAGTATTGCCATATGGTTTAGAAACCAGGCATATAACAAATAATACGTAAAAATATATGAGACATTCAGAGCACAATTGATCAAATAATGGTAGGTGGCAGTCAGACCATTTTGCCGCTTGCCGCCATTGCCGCGCTGGGTCGGTCTGAGAAGCCTTTGCCCCTTCGTTGCCCCCTCAAAGCCTCAAATGTAATCCCCGAAGGAGATTACGGAAGCTTGATTGAATCGTTGACTAACCAGCCCACAACAAACCGTCACTCGGCCGCTCTAGAGCAAACACAGAGTGCTTCTCTTTTCAGATTAATCTAAGAAGTGACTGCGAGATTTAAAATATATTTTCATCA